CAGTTTAATTAAAAGATCTTGGAGTTAGCAGGCTCCTGAGGGAAGTCTTTTTTTTTTTTTTTTTAATAACTAAACAGGCAAGGGAGAGATCCTGCGTCGCTGAGAGCTGGGCTGTACAGTCTCTTTAGAGAACCTTATCACATGCATGCTATTCCTTTATTTTCCAGGCTTCGAAGCCGAAGGTCAGCATCCCGCTTTCAGCCATCATCGAAGTCCGGACGACAATGCCTCTAGAAATGCCAGACAAAGACAACACTTTTGTCCTGAAGGTAAAGCACCCTGGATGCATTGAGATTTGTACTGGATCCAGCGACATCCCAGGCTTCTCTTCCCCTCCCCATCTCAGCAGCCAGTGATTCTACCCAGATGGCAGCTGCTGCCCTCCAGTCCCACAGGGAGGGGCCTGGGAGAGGAAGGGTGTTGTGTATTCATGATGGGTATCCCCCTTCCTGGCAGCAATTGATTGTGCCTGACACCACCAGCTGCTCAGAACTGTTTGCTTGCAGGTTCCAAAAGAGCCTTTGGTGCTTCAATTCACCCTCAAAAGATTGCTGCATGGCATGGGTACAGAATTGTAGTGTCATGTAACTGGGGCCTGGCCTCTGAGATGTGCTTAAAGAGAGACCTGAGAGAGATGGGAAAATGGACAGCACTTAGATTTGCACTCCAGTGGATTTAAAGACTTTAGGGCCAGCAGGGGCCATTAGATCAGTGGGTCTAATTCTCTGTCTCTCACGGGCCCTTACATTTCACGCCGTTACAAGCACAATTTAGTAGCTCAGTACAGCAGTGTTTGGCAAAGGTGCCACTTCCACCAAGGCACCCAGCCTTGGTATGAGCCCGTCGAGAGCTGGAACCTCTGCCACTCTCCCTGGAAGTCTGCTGCAAGGCTGAATTGCCCTCGCTGTTAAGAATCTGCGCCCAATGTTTGAGCCAAACCCACCTGGCATCAGGTGTCATCAGCTAGATTCATGTTCTGCCTTCCCCTGCTGAATTAAAGAGCCGTTTCACCAAAATTATTTTCTTCAACATTATTAACAACTTTACTCTCTCTCCATCCACTACCCAATGAAGTGGATTGTTCCCTGTAAAAGCTCCTGCCACTCTGAGCTTGTTAGTCCCCGAGGTGCCACCTTGCTTTAGTTTCTCTTGATGGTGTAGACTCATGTGTTTGGCTGTCTACTAAGCTCTTCCAAAAGAACTCTCAATTTTCATACGGGTTTGTCTATCGTATTTACTCAAATTTAAGATGATCCTGAATTTAAGACAACCCCCTAATAATTAGATTCTGTACATGGAAAAATTATAAATTAGTTATAATTTTCCACATATGGAATCTAATTATTGGAGGGTCATCTTTAATTCATACCCGCACTGCTGCAAGGGGCAGGCAGTGGGGCAGCAGGTAGTATGGGAGGATCAAGCTGCTGGCCCCCTGCTTGTGCCTGCCCCCTTGCCACCTCTGCCTCCTGCTGCCTCCCCCCAACACCTCAGGTCCCCACTTCCCCCTCTGCTCCCTCTCCTGCCCCTTTTCCCCAGTCTCTGCTCCTCCCTTCCTCCTTCCCCCCACCCCCCTTGTCCTTGCTCCATCCCCATTCTAGTCTGGGGCAATGAGCCTGGCCCCAGCCCAGCCCTCATAGCAGCTGCGTGATGCTGCTAGGGGACCGGCCATGCTCAATGTCCCAGGCTTCAGCTTGGACAGAGAAAACACAAGGAGAGGAAGGGCGAGGAGCAGGTGTGGAGCAGAGGGTGCATGGGGGAAAGAGATGGTGGAAGAGGCTGTAGGGAGGAGATGGTTGGGTACAGAGGTGGTGGAGGGGCAGGCAGCAGCTGCGGCCAGGGCCCTAACCCTGGGTACAGGATGGAACCTGAGCCACAGCAGCTGTCTGCCCCCACCCCCTTTTATTCAATTGTGAAATGCTTTTTATCCATGTTACATGGCGGGGGGGTGGAGAATCTCATCTTAGAATCCCATAAATAAAATATTTATTTTTCTTTCTAGCACAGCTTGGTCATACTTTTCCTCAGTTTTAGGAGGCTAATAAATTAGCCTCCTCCTTGGCCAGATACAGAACCTATATGCAAATGAGAGTCCTTCCCCACTGGGTCCAATGCAAGGAGAGGTGCAGTTTAGGCCCTGTGACAGTGAAAGCACAAGGAACTCCTCAGGGTTCCTTGGGCAGCCCCCCTGGAGAGCGACTCTATTATGATAGTGTTGCAGGCCCCCCATGTGTAACATTTCTCTCTCACTGGCTCCCAGAGCTAATCTTTCCAGGTTACAAGCAGAATGGCACGTGTTCCTTCTGCATCTCTAGGCTATAAACTCAGACTGGGAACTGAGAGTTGAGCTGGATTCCTTTTAGTTCATCTTAAACTTACTAGCACACTTTTGGTCACTGTAAAAAGGAATGGAGCCAACAGCAACAGTTTGTGTGGCAAGAAGGAGAAACAGTTCATATGTTCTGTAGGTGATGAATGAACTGGAGTGAAATCCTGCTCTCTCCCTCTTAGCTGTGTTGGCCTTGCAGAGCTAAGAGGATCCGTACAGCACAATCGGAAGGTAGGAGACTATATAAGCAAGTGATCTGCCTCCCAGTTGCCAAACTGGCCTTGGCCTCCCAGTTGCCAAACTGGCTCCCCTATTTGCTACATGTCAAACCCTTAGCATTTGCTCCCATGCTTCTCTTCCCTGCTGTGGCCAACAGGCAGCCTAGATGTTCCCTTAGACCTCACCAGTGAACTGAAGGAGCCAGCCAGTGCTATTGACCTATGAAGGAGCCATGACAGTTCAAGACGGGAAGCTCTGCAGATGAAGATTGAGGTCTGCTGGGTTGCAGTCTCAGCTCTGCCACTGACCAGCTCTGTGACATTAGGGGAGCCACTCCCACCATTGCCTTGTTTGTAAGCTCCTCAGGGCAGGGACTGTCTCTTACTATGGATTTAGACCCATGGAGTCCAGCTCTTATTGGGGTCTCTCACTGTTCCCCTAATGCAAATCTATTTGAAGATTAATTTGCTTTGCCATTGCCTGGTTAGGGGTTGCATTTGGTCTTTGGTGGCATTCTGAGCAGAGAGAGAGACTGTACAAAAGGGGCTTTCTGTCTCTCTCTCTCTTTCTTATTGTTCAGCCTACAACCCTGTTTGGCTGGAAAATGGGAAGTCAGAGACAATCTGCCAGGGGGTGACACTGCCCACTGTTATGTAAATGCTGCTGTTCCTGGTTGCTGGAGAGTGGTGTTCATTTGATCAATAAGAGGGGCTGGTGGAAGCTGTTTGATTGGGGGTGGGGGAGGGTGGCCTGCATTGCATGTCATAGGGCCTCTGGGGATGGAGAGTAATGCACAGCAGACAGGAATCTGAGGACAAGAGTAGATATGAAGGGCTACTCTAGCCCTCTAGCTAGAGACCCTCAAAAAGACTTTTTTTCCATACAATACAGTTAATTAGCTTAATGCAGTATCTTCTGCAGTGTGCTGCTGGCAGCTGCTCCTAACAACCCCTTGCTACAAAGCAGGATTTTTTCCCACTGGGCCGGAGCAGGCGACGTGGAAGAAGTCTGTTCTGCAGGCTGGCTCTGATCTGAACTGGGAGGCAGCCTCCCCAGCAGGGGCTGAGCGCTGCCTTTCTGCTGGTGAGTTTCCCTCGGATCCATCCACTCACTCCCCTCGAACGTAGTGTTTTGGGACTCTGGCTCCAGACACAAATGTGTGGGTCTGAGGTTTCAGCGACAAAGCACGTGATGAAGGTTTAATTAACCTTGTAAAGGAAAAAAGATGATTTAGTCTAATAAAGCTGCCGCTTCCTAGCAGCCACTCTCAAGGGGATGCTGGTGTTCATGGCACCTTGCTCCTCATTGAGCCTGATCAGGAGCATGTGGCACTGCAGGCAGAAAGTTAGTGTGCACAAGAAACAGCCTCAAAGGTTTTAGTGCATGAGCATTGGTACCAGGGTGGCCAGTCCTAGGTGTTTGGATGAATATTCAGATTCCTGCCATCCAGCTAACACAGGCCTCCAGAATTAGGAGTGAAACATCATGTGACTGCAAGCTCTCTACCTTGAGGCTTCTGCTTCTGATCCCTGGTCAGCTGCGAAAGTAGGCAGCTTTGGGCCAACAGATTTTTTTTTTGAGCACTACAATGGCAGGCTGGAAACCTGTTCTCTTCCTTCCTCTGCCCTGAACATAATGAGAAGCACTGGGGTTTTTTGGGGGTTTTTTTGGTTATCATCTTTTACTGGGCCATCTAGAACAGGGATGGGCAAAATGCAGCCCGCGGACCAGATGCGGCCCATCAAGCTATTCTGTCCAGTCCATGGGGCCCCTAAAACATTTGGAAAATTAATATTTATCTGTCCCTGGCTGCTTGTCGTGTGACCTTCGATGGCTTGCCAAGACTCAGTAAGTGGCCCTCCTCCAAAAATAATTGCCCACCCCTGATCTAGAATCTATACTCCATGCCTGTCTCATTTCCTAGGCCATCAAGGCTGAAGCAACACTTCAACCCTACTATTGTGTATGAAAGAGGTTTTTTCCTTTCCCTGCACCGTCAGTCTTCCAGAAGGAAGAATAGTTTCTGTTCACCTGGTTGAGCTCGCACAGCTCACAGGCACAAGAGCAGTGCAACGTGCTCTCAGTGCTGATTGAGTCAGACCCAGCCTCGTGTCCATGTAGCATGAGGGGAAGCAGAAATGCCCCCGCTGGTATGGGTTATGTAGGGGGTACTTTTCTTTGAGCCAGTATCCATTGCATTGCTTCTCTGCCAGTGTCTGTTTTAGATATATTTCCATCAAAGCTACAGGACTGGAAACCTGAGACATTAGTCAAAGCAAGCCCCAGCCCTAAATCTGTGTCTGACACCAGAGCCAGAAGGAATGCACCTGAGTGTCCTGACGGCTGTTGCATCCAGATGTTCTGGAAACCCCCATTCTGGCTCCATAGTTAAGTACACAGCATAACTCAGTCTTTGTGCACCAGACAAATGACAGTGTTGGTTGTATGGAGGGCAGGGCTCTGCTCTAAATCTTTTTCCTTCCAGTAAGTCATGCTGGGCTATTTGTACTGTTGGCAATACCCGAGTAAAATTTATATGACCTTACAGGAGAAAGGAATGCTAAATTTGAGTCCAGCGTGGGACTCCTCTGAACGCTACTTGCCTGTGCTGGTTTGTGAGACTTTTTTAGATCTCTTTGTCTCTTTGATAACTTTTACTTGTAAGGCCGAGAAACAGAGAGCTGCTAATGCTTGAAGAATTTCTGTCCCACCTCAGCCAAAACCTACCTCTAACGCTGTGGTTTGTTTCACAAAGCACATTTTCAATGAAGAGGGTAGAGACTAGCTTCCTTGTGTGGCTGAACTAGTTAAAGGTTTCCAAAATGGTAAATGCCAAGGGCGAATTTCCTGTATTAAGGCTTCTATTGTATTTGTCTTTAATATATTTAGATTAAAATTGTTGCACTTCATATCCCAGCTCCAAATGGGCATATGTTCCTTTAAGAAAGTGCTTTGAATTGAATAGATGCCCTGTGGCATGCAGGGGTTGCCATGGAAATTGTTCTTTTTCATTGAATCACGGATTCCTTGACAAGTCTAACTTATGCAAACTTCATCTGAGCTCCTTGTCAATAAGGATAAAGGGGCACTTGTGAGGAACAAAACCTTGATGTCCACTTTGCATTTGGTATGTTGTGGGGGCTGCATGTGTGAGTGTGTGTGCATGCATGTGTCTGTGTGTGCATGTGTCTTGTTCCAGAGCACAAATGATGAGGAACGAGGTGCAGTGTGCCCTGGGACAGCAGCCAGGTTAATGTAGCTTCCTTCCCCTCCGAAAGCTTCCCAGTAATTCTCAAACAATAACAGCTCTTCCAAGAGGCTTTTCCCGTTATTTTGGTCCCTGTTTCCTCAAGGGGCTTATTTGGCTTGTTTGTTTCAAAGTCCATAATTGACTGTTGAGATTCTAATTGACCTCTTGAGCGCTGTGTTCTCGGGGAGAGGAAATGTGTAAAAGGTGCTCTGACTTTTCAGTAGTTACTGTGCCTCAAGCGACTCCCAGAGCCAGACACTTTCTGGTCCTTCCTGTCCACGCTACAATCTACCGAGGGACATGGTCTGAAGAATTAGCCTGTGTGGGAAGGTGCAGTGATCATTAATTGATCCCAGCAGATGAATCATGATGAAAGTGCCTCTGGGAAATAGGCATGTGAGTGATGTTGCCCTCCATTGGCTGGGCCTACAATGAAGAAAAGGGATTTATTAGAATAAGTGACCTTTTGAGATCTTCTTTAACTTGGATGCCAGAGATCTGTGGCTTTTGAGGCAAAGCAGTTGGTATATTTGCCACATGGAGAAATTGCATTGGTTGTGTGTGGCATGTAGGCTCATGACAGAGGGGAAAGGAAGGGCAGATCTGCAAGAATGCAAGAGTTTCCCCTCTCGTTCAAGGTAGCTGTATTTTTTAATTGATTCTGCAATGTTTTGAAGCCTCTAAATTCAACCCCAAGGTATTTCTGCAGCGAGTGACAGTGCTGTCCCTCCTCTGTAACTTACATTTTCTTCCATCATGAAGACAAATGGTCCGTTGCAAGGTACTCATGCACTGTGCTCATTTTTGCTTCCTTTTGTTTTAAATGTTAGAGTCCCCAAACCTTCAACCCCCCCCGGTGCTTTGTTCTCATGAAGCATCTGCGTCGGTATGGAGTCTAGCAGCTGAAGGGATCTCCCCCTCACCTTGGTATATCTGCCTGGACCTCAGCATTGCTAGTGCACTGCACTTGCTTCTCTAGTGTTTGGCAGCAGAGTAGGCTCAGGGCCCTGCTGCTGCCCAGCTCTGAGTAGGGCCCTGTGGTAGAGCCTTTGGCAACCTGTTCCTCAGCTTGTTTATTTTCAGTGCAGCGATTCTGTTTTATATGATTAGGTTCATTTCATAGAAGGTCATCCTAGCTAGCAATGTGATACCCTGAGTCAGGACTGCCTCATCCAGTTCAGTAACAGATTATATAACATGCTTGGGAAGAACGGAGTAAGGAAAAGCCTGCCATAGACATGGGGTTTGTGCCTGATGCTTTAGGAAGCCACTTCCAGCCCTAGCTTCTGTGCCCATGCCACATCTGCAGCATTGTCAGCTCTCATGAGTGTGAATCATGATGGTTTTCATAAAGCTCTAGCTCTTGAAGTCATGTGATTGGCCAGTTGAGCTCCTTTTACACGTCTAGCTCCTGTGGTACCAGACAAAAGCTTGAAGCCTAAGGACACAGGACCCTAGAGGCAAATAAAAGAGACTCTCGGTATAAATAATAAGCAGGGATCCTGGTTTTCTCAGTTTAAAAATCACAAATTCTCTGATAAAACTCACAACTTCCACAATTAAAATAAAACTTCACTATATGTATAGGTATTAGTTGAACACAATGTTTTGTTGATAAATGTACAATTTTAAAGCAGTTTGGAAGCCTACCAGTGCCTCAATCGTTATAACAAAATACATTTTAAATACCTATAAATTTTGGAGTTTGATTCAGGGGTTTTTATCATGGAAAATCAGAGCTCTCCTTGCCCTCTTCACTCACCAGGATGTGGGTCCAGCTGCAGCTGTTCCCCCTGCTGCTTTGTGGCATTGAGCAGCCCTGATATGCCATAGCCCCCCTCCCCGCCCCCAGACCCTTACTCCAGTGCCCCTTACTCTCAACTCACAACCCTGCCAGTGCCACTCACTCCAAACGTGCACCCCCACTCCCCCGGGCTCTGCCGGTGCCCCTTACTCCCAACAAGAGCTGACCCCAGGGGAGTGCAGGGCCCGGGGCAGATCAGCCTGTGCGGGGCCCCCTTAACACTGTGCAGGGCTGTGGTACCCCTGCAAAGGGGGGAAAAGGGGGCTGTGCTGCTTCTGTGGTGCAGGGCTGAGCCACCAGCTCCAGGTGAGCTCCGCAGGAGGGGCTGCGATTGCTCTCCCTGGCTCTGTGGGCCCCTGCAAAGTGCAGGGCCTGGGGCAGTCAGCCCAATTTGCCATACCCTAGGGACAGCTCTGCTCCCAACCCACAGCCATCCCCAGCTTTGCAGGTACCCCTCACTCCCAACCCACTGCTCCCCTTCCTCACACTTGAGGACTGGGGATGGAGTGGGTGGGTGTGTGTGTGTGTGGGGGGGGGGGGCATGTGCCCCCCAGATTTCTGCACCTACAATAGAGCACAGGCCTCACCACAGTGGTGCAGCACTCCCTCCTATGCTGGGTCCTGCCTGCTGCGCTGTGGAGGCAGCTCCTGCCCAGAGCTGGTTCAGCTCAGCTGCAGCCCCATGCCCAACTGTGGGCACAGAAGTCTTGGGAGCATGTGTCCCCCTGCTCCCCTCCCCCGCAATGTGTAGCCTGTGGTCCCTCCTCCCAGTGCATGGTCTGTGCCTCTCCCCATCACCATACACACATTCACATGGTGCCCCTGCAGGCTGGTACTCTACCAGCCTGCAAAGGGAAACCACTGGCTTCCTGCGTGTTTTTCTCCTTTTTAAAGGGGAAAATCCTCGATCCTTTAAAAAAGAAAAATCTGTGTTTTTCTGCATTTTCAATAGCAAACAGAAAACCTGGATCCCTGATAATGAGGTAATATAATTTTAAAGACAATCTCATGGCACCCTGGGGGCTTGACTCATTTTTGAACACTTCTGGTTGGCGATGCTGTCTCAGGCTGCAACATTTGGTCTGATGAACTGAACAGGGTTAATCCAGTTCAGCACACGGAAGAAAGATTTTTCAAAAAAATCCAGGATACTACATGTAGCGCAGCTGGTGAATCAATAGGCAGTGCTTTTTCTTTGCACCAGTGCTTCACTACTGACCCAGCATGATGTTTCAGGGTGCCAAGTTATCGAATGAGTGTTGCCTGCTTCAGATGAGCCTAAAGCCCAGCTTGTTACCATGGGAGCATCTAAGACCATTTGCCCCAGAAGTCTGGCCTAATTCCTATTTTTGCAGTTGCCTTTGGACACCTGAAGATTCCCTCATCTCTTCCCTCCATCACTGTAATTTCTGTTGAAGAAGATACTTCTTAGCTTAAAGAGAGGGGTTGGGCTGCTGGTCAATATTGAAACAGCTGCTGCTTGCACTGCAGACCATGACCATGACCATGACCGTGGTATTGGTATTGGTAGGCATGATACCGTTGGTAGGCGTTTATTTGATTCCATTGTCCTGCTCAATGGTTGAGTAGGGAATATGCAGTAATGTCTTCTGAGTCAGGGGTGGGGAAGGAGAGAGGCAGGCAGGGAAGGGTGAAGACACGTAAAAGGATTGTTAATTGACTTCTCTTTCTCCCTTTCTTCCCGTGTAGGTGGAAAATGGTGCTGAATATATCTTGGAAACCATTGACTCCCTCCAGAAACACTCCTGGGTCGCAGATATACAGGACTGCATTGATCCTGGGTAAGGATTGCTTGAGGAAGCCACTCTTCCATGTTCAAAAAGCACAGCCACCTGTGCTTGCACTCTGCGGCTCAGGCACTTGGACCTGTGCTGTCCTGCTTGCTCAACTACAGATGGGTCAGTTCTCTGGCCTGTGGCACTCAGGTGACGGGAACCACAGGTCAGGAATTCCAGCTGTGCACAGTGGAGCCAGCGGCCTTGTGCCTGGACATCCCGGCTGACACTGACCGCACATGCTGAGTAGGTCGCAATTTATACCCTGTTCATGGCTCCAGACGTGAGAAGACATCATACTATAATCATCTCCCCACTTCCTCTTGTTGGTCTCCTCCAAAATTCATCAGCCACTATGATCCTAGAGGGGCAAGGGAGGCCCTTTCCAAAAGCCCCCCCCTCACAGCCCTGTGACTGCATGTATGTCTAGGTACTGCCCTCACAGTGGAGGGCTGGGAATGGCTTACATTTACTCTCAGACCAGAGTTGCAGTGTTTTACATTTCTTTAATGAAAACCAGAGTTGTTCTATCTGCCAGAAAATTGCTCATTGCCTTGCCAGGCTGTGTAGAACAGCCACTTACACAGTTGCGTTTTAAAGGCTGGTAGAAAGTGCTTAAATATTTAATTGACTGTTTGCTGTGAGGTGCTGTGAGTGATGGGCTGAGGCTGTGGAGGTGAGACACACACACCAAGGCGTTAAAGTGAAGTGTTCAGACTCCAGGGAGGGGAAACCATGTGGGAATTGCCTGGGGCTTTGGAGAGGCGGGGGAAGAACAAGGCTTTATAATATGTCTTGTTAGGAATGTGCTGTGGTTTTAGTCTGTGCTAGTGTATTAAGATCTCTTGTCTCCCTCTACTGAGTTCCAGTAGCCCATTAGCAGAACAAGCCCACTCTTTTCAATACAGGAGTTGTGAGTTCTGATCCTTTGTCTGGCTACTTCATGAGAGTTGCATGGCCTCATAGAGGTGAAATGAGATGAAGTTTGCAGGCCTGCTTTAAGCAGGAGGTCATGTTACATGAGAACAAATTCTCATCTGGGTCCAAATCTTCTGAATCCCTGGGAAATATGGGGCCATCTCTTGGCTGCTTCATAGAACATCAGTTCTGAAGTAGAGGGCTATGAGCCCCAAAGCAATTTCATTGTAAAAGTCTGTCTCTTGAGTGATGAACCTCGAAGATGGGGAACCCTTCCCTAAGGTCTTTTACAGCAGGTGGCTTAGATCCCTTTGCCCAAGGGCAGATGCAGCAGCTTCCTTCCTCTCTACACTTCTTTTGATGCCAGTTGTTTGAGAAGCTCCAAACACCTTCTGGCCATTTTGTCAAACCCTCCCAACCAATATAGGAGATAGACAGACAGGTCCTTCACATTTATAGATGTGCTGTGGGACACAAGGTACAAAGATTTAAATGACTTGTCTAAGGCTTCCCAGTGAGTTGGTGGCAGAGCTCAGCACAGAACCCAGGAGTCCCAAATCCCAGTCTCCTGCACTATCCACTGGTCAGTTCTGTTCTGTGGGGGACATTAGTTCAAAGCAGGACATAAGCGTGTTGGAGTCGGAACTAGTCAGGAAGACATAAAGACACCAGCTGCCTGAACACAACAGCAGGACCTCAGAGTGGTGGGGGTGAGGAAGGACTGTTCTAGTGAAAGGGTCTCTGTGCACTTCAAGAAAGAGATGCTATGGTTAAGGGGGAGCAGTGCCAGTGGGGCAAGCCTGGAATGGTCAGAATGGAAGCACTGCCCTGAGTTGACTGTAAGAGGTGCCTTGTGTCCATAAGTGCTGTCCTTCTCTGAAAGGTCTGGTGCTATCTGCTTGCTGTCATTCAAAACTGGGTTTTTCATTTCACGGTGAGAAACACTGTTGTCAAAGCTGCATCTGGGTGGGAAGGTTTGCAGTGCAGCCATCAGGCACATGCATGGAAAGACTGTGCAACTCTTCCTGATGGTTATAATCCATTGTCACTGAAACATTTTGAGGGGTGGGGGGATAGGAGAAGGGGAGATAGTGAAAATGAACAATTTTTTTTCATTTGAAAAATGTTCTTAAAGCCCCTTTTTCAACCCAAAAGTCCGCTTGCAAAATGTGAGGAGTTCTAGTAATCACAGCACCTGCTGGGGGTGTTACTCTTCTTCCTTTGGGCCTGGCCCTCGGAGTGTAGGAGTGGCTACAGCTGCTAGAGCTGAACCTTGGTGCTGTAGCTCAGACTGAAGAAGCTCCTACTTCTAGCTCTGCACATCCCACTTCCAGACCATGTGAGAGGGTAGCTGTCTTACAGGTGGGATCTTGTCTGAGATTTTGCCAACCAGAGAGTTACACTTGTCAGAGGTTACAGCAGAGTACAGTGCTTGTCTTTCCTGTGCTACTGTGGAATGCCCCAGTTCTCAAACAGCTTCAACAGTCCACCCCAGAGGTGGGTGCTTTTCACTGATTGGGTCAGTGATTCCTGTACATACAATCTGTTAGGTCTGTCCGATTGCAAGGTGCTATAGGAATGTAAGATGCTGCTTTATTCTTGCTGAGATTAAAAAAAGGGGCTGGGGCTGGGGAGTGTTGGATCAGCTGGAGAATATGAAAAGGCCTAAACTACCCTAACAAATAGCACTCAGGACCAAATAGATTTGCTTCCTATAGCTGCCTTTGTGCAATGTAGGGCTCCATTCTCATTCCAAACCTGTCTGAAAACTGAAAAAACCAAACCTTGTCATGGCTCAGATGTTGCAGGGAAGAGCTAGAAAGCTGAGCCAGTTGGTCTTTCTTTGAATCAGTCTTGGGAGCCCATTGTACATGTCCAGCTTTGCTTAGAAGAGCACTTGGGGGAATATACCCAGACCAAGGAATGGGGTAGATGCACTAGTGTCTCAAGTTTCTGCATAAAAATGGATTCTTGGAGTTTAGAGGATGCATTTTTACCCCTTGGTCCCTGCACTGCAGCTTTTAAAGTATGTTACCCACAGGCAGAAGCAGGGGGTGGGAGGCAGGGATCCTGAGACAGTGCCACTAACATGCTCTGTGACCTTGAGCTGTGACTATGTTGCTGCCTCTTTTTCCTTTCTGTAAAACAAAGGTAAATGCCCAACTCCAGCTCCCTCACTGGAGCACTAAGAGGGAACATTCTGCTGTGATCATGCAAAGACATGTGCTTCTGCTTCGCTTTGAACCTCTGATCAAGCCTCACAGCTGCCAGAAGGATGAGTTGCAGGCACAGGCATAAGAATGTGCAGGATCATGGCCGATACAGACAAAGCACTTTGGGGATCTTCAGATGAAGCATCCCCTAGCAAGAAAAGCTTTACAGACATCATCCCCTGCCACCATGAGATGCTGTGCAGGCCCTGGGATTAAACCCATGCACAAGTGGCAAGAAGCAAAGCAAGGATCTTCTGTACCTCTTCCAGCTTTACTACCCAGGGGCTGGGCTAAGCAATGAGAGATGGGCAGTGGAAGTCTGGTTTAAGGTCCTTGTTCATCTAGACTGCTTCTTTTTAAACTTTCGTTCTATAATGCATAGAGAGTAATGATATTATTTAAAGACTGTACTCTATGGCACTTCAGAAAACACATAAAGAAATGTTTGAATATTCAAACACCATAATAATACCCAGCACTTATAGCACTTTTCATCACTAGTGCTCAAAGCACTTTACTAGGCTGCTTACAGAGATTAAAAAAAAACAAAACTTGCTTTACTTAAAGAAGCAGCATGTTAGTTCAGCCCAGCTCCACAGTGTCTATATAGATTGGGCGCTTTGGGGCTTTATGGCACTTTTATCTAATAGCTGATTCAATCAGCTGTTAGATAAATGTGCCAAACGCCCCCCCCCCACTAAAGCACCTGATCTATACAGACGTTGGGTGAACCAGATCCAACTAATGCGCTGCCTCTTCTGGGCGTGTGCTGGGCTCAGCACGGGAGTGCACCAAGTTTAGAGTAAACCACCATTTTCGTTTGTTTCTGTAACATCTGTAAGCAGCATGCACAAGTCAGTAGGATGGTCCCTGTTTTTCAAATGGAGAAACCTGAGGCACAGAGCAGCAAAGTGACTTAACCAGGGCCATGCACCAGGGTGGTGACAGAGCCA